TGGTTGTATTTCAAATAGTGACCTTCCTTGAAAAGAGAATAGGCAGCAGATAAAAGCTAAAACATTGTGCTTTCCAGAATATCTCGCAGTCTTATATTCTTCTGCGAATTTCGAAATAAAAATAGGCTTCAACTTTGTTGCTGGTGGCTAGAGATCTATGTCATTTGGGAAGGTTGGGCTTTGTATCGTCCAACAAGCAGTTTAGTTATGAAAGCTGAGAAAGCTGCCATGTCGCTCTGTCAAGCAGTTGAATAATTTTTTGTTGTATGGATCAACTGGCCTTCGACTATTTTTCATTAAGGGGATGTTTTGTGCAGGACGGTCCGCTGTTGCGATATAGTTGTTCGATGCTGCCCTGAGGGTGTTCATTTCGAACTCAATCTCGAGTAATGAATTTTGATTGTTTTTCTTAGCATATCAAAGCAATGAATGCGGCTAACTTGAGAGATCAAGGTGGTTGGCACGTGTCACTATCACTTAGAGTTGCTAAGAAACCGTTAACGGCTCTTGCTATAACCCTCTTCATGTGGGGATATTGACGATGTCATCATGTAATGAATGTAAACGTGCTGCCCACTCTTTTCATGGTTTCCTACCTTGAGATTTATTGTTTTACGCCTTTGCTAGTTTAGTTCGGCCAATGCACCAAAACAGTGGTTAGCAGTACTTAGGACAGTGCGCCAGAAATGTAGCAGCTGCCGGTTGAAATTAGGTTTTCGGTTCTGTCCTCGGCACCAAATTATCACTAGTTTGAAGTGGAATGCTTTAATTTGTACGTGTTTACCACAAAGCAGTTTTTGGCGTTTAACATCGTGAAAACCTGTGTAATTCTACTAGCCATCGTCGACTATGGAGTGGACTAATACTAGAGAACAACTTTAACTAACTGTTATCGAAATTGGACCCACGAAGGTGGAGATTTTCTGCCACTTCTTAACATGCATATAGGAAAAGGGGTTCAACAAGGCAACAGTGTATCACCAAAGTTATTTGGTGCCGCATTGCAGTGGATAATGGAGGCACTCGATTGGGATTAGTAGGGCATACATATTGGTGGGAAATTTCTATCAAGCCTTCGTTTCTTAGAAGACGTCGTTATCTCAAGAAATACCAGCGTAGTAGAGATAATGGTCACTGAGCTCAACGAAGTGGGAAAAGACCTGACTGCTCATAAATCGGTAGAAGGCCCACTTCATAGAAAGCCCACAGTGCGAAGGGGAGTAAAACAAACTTTGTGGGTCTCTGATTCCAGAGAGCGGCTTGTTCGTGTACTTAAGACGTCCAGTGAGCATGAAGAACAACATGCACGAGAAAGTAAACGGCACAGTGAATGCAGCGTGGCCAGCGTTCGGGCCTTTGAAAGAAGCCACCGACTAACTAGCGAGCGCAAACCCAGCAGTCATAGTGCCGTTAGGACTCAGAGGCGAGGGCTGATTCTTCAACGACATCATGAAATTTGCGCACCATGCACGGTACTCACAGCTTATTGACGAAATGCACTTCTCTGGCCTACGAAGCTTATCTCATCTTGGGTAATCAGGAGAACATACATCGATATCGAATCATATTTGGGCGTGTCACATGGTAGGAAGAATAAATGACAGATGAAAAGAGCNGTGGAGTGGACTCCAAGAGAATGGCAACCATAGAGAGGATTTGCGGACATGTTCGCTTACGTGAAATACCTGCATCCGTAGATGGAAATGATTTCACTTTTCGCACTGTGCCTCGCAGACACCACGTATTCGTAGCATTCCACCACTTTGGACAACGATTTCACGAGAAAGAACGGTCTGCGATGCTAGTGAAGTTCAGAAATCCTGGTAGGAAGTTCCTTTTTTTACTCCTCTGTCAGAATTGCGTATAATCGGAAACAAATCAGCGATGGACATACGAATTGGCCTAGCGTCCCAAAGCTAGCATTTCTTCACGATCGCTTAATTTTCGAGCTATTTGTTTCTCGGCACTCTTGAGGTGTTGTACAAGTAAACCATGTATTCTATCGCTGTTTTCGATGAGGGAACCTTACAAGTAGTTAGCTGATAATGTGCGCAAATCTCAATTGGAGTACATTTGATATTTGGTGGCGGTCTTCACACGTCAATCAATCACCAGCTTTTTCTTGTCGGGGTATTATCAGGTTTTTAATACATTGCGATTTGGTCTACTTCGTCGTGTTAATCTCTTCCCGGATTCGATAGAAAGTGCTCCTACCTCACCTCCGTCAACGCTTGTTGTTTGAAGAGCATGGTGTCAAAATGTCCAGTGCGGGTATTGAGGCCGTCTTTTCAGCCATAGATATTGGTTTCATCTCTTTTTATTTTTAAGGCAATCGGCCAAAATCGGCTCTTTTTCGTCTTTTCGGCCACTGTAGCAACTAATGTTCTTCGCATACACCGTGAAGTCCTCGAGAGGATTCGAAAAATGTTGTTCGTAATTTGTACTATAACAGATATCTGCCATAGTCCTTTCCTGATTTAGGAAACTTGAAATGCTGCTGAATTTTTAGCAGCATGTTCGTACTCGTAAAGGGTAAAGGATAAAGCTCTCGGCGTTGATCAGTCCCTGAGGGATGCGCCATGCATTCGACTTCATTAACCATCGTTGCAGGTGATCGAATGCATACCTGGCGTTTACAATGACTCGCCTTGGCCTACCGATGCGTCTAGAGAGTGCTGCTAACCTCCCAGACAGCTCTGGTACCAATTTGCTGGCCTCAGAGGAGTGGAAACCTTGATGAGACTGTATCGGAGAGCGATTCCATGTGTAGTGCATGGTGCATCCGAGCACTGTGTAACACGTCCCTTCGTGCTGATACGTCCTTATATAAGCATACAAAAAGTAGATGTATATCCTGTAAACCGGAAGCGGTGAGACCATTCTTGAATTCACCTATGCCGTAAAGCAAGTGAAAGCTTTCTTTTAGATCTTGTCTAATCTCCTATCCGCCAAATGGTAACGCGGCAAGTATTTCCGCGACCTAGAAGATAGGTATTCCTCGTTGAATGAAATTCTTTACCAAGTTAACATTAAAACTACCTTTCGAAGCTCTAGTTCATTCGATTGAACAAGTCCAGTTTTTGATGAGTTGTTTTTCATTTCGTTTCGGTGATACAGCTGATTAGAGGTGACCTCATAGGAAAATAACCTACAGCAACATTATTTGAGTTTTGTCCATCTTCAGCAGTCTACCTCATAATAATCAGGAATTCTTCAAGTCAGCATAATCTACTCATTGCTTGTCATTGGTGTCATCTGCGTGGTGTTAATTAGATTGTTAATCATTCTATGAAACTTATTTTGGAATTATCAGTTAGTAATCATTAATAACGAGACTATTTGCAGGGGTTTTAGATACAACCTTTAAAAATGCCAGAAAATGTGGGATACGATGTGGAGGTGGAGAGTAGCGACGATGAGGAATTTGAGAAAGGCCTCCTTACGGTGAGCGGAGTTTGTTTCTATTACGAACATGTTTTGGAGGGAACATTTTCATAAGTAGAGTATTTTTAATACAGATTGAGTTTTAACGACTACTCGTTTACCTATTAAACAGTGACTTTAGGTCATACTCCCTCTTCGATTAAGAAGGTTTCGTGTGTATGGGTCATTTTGGTATTATTCCCCAATCACTGATAATGTATTAATCTGTGGGACTAATTAAAGTTTTATTAGCAGGAAACAATTTTAACAAAATAGATTTCAAACGTCGCTTTTGTTGGGACAAGGTGAGCGTAGTGGTAGAGATGTTGTTCAGTCCACGCAAAGAGACACTTCGAACCCGTTGTTTGCTAACGACAGCTCTCATCGTTTTGAGGTCGAGAACATAGTGCCAAGGTTGTCTGGGAAGTGCTCCATCCAATGCATAAAGGCTGGAGACTATCTGTGATGAGGTCATGCGAACAGCTCAGCACCAGCTCTCAAAGTACTCCAAAGAAAGTCGTCTCGCCCAACAATCGATGCCATCCAAAAAGAAGGTTAAATATTCTCATGCACCAGCCGCACGGGCACGCATATCGAAGGCGTTCGTGTATGATCGATGCAAGAAAAATAATCGTACGAACGACACTGGGGTCCTCACAGCTTGGTACATGTGATGTACGCTGATGGAAAAAAAATATGTTCCTTTACCCAATACTTTTCGATCAGTCTAGGGCGATTTGTATTGTGCACCTCGAGCAGCCGAGCCTTTGAGCTAATTTTCATGCTCACAGTTTGTCTATCCTCCTTTGTGGAGTGGCCAACCATCTATAGACATCTCTACCAGTATTGTTGGCTTTTCCACAGACAGCACTAACGCTTTGAGTGGTCTGGCTGTCAGTGTTAATTCGTTATCGTAAAAAATTGGTTTTGTTCACTTCGTTCTCTCTTCTATTAGGCTTCTAATTATTTTTAACGATAAACTTAAATGTTTTTTCAACATATAAGAGAAGGTCCGCAAAATCGCGTGTAGCGGTTAGTAAAAAGTATTTCTACTTCAACCAGACGGCGTGAGTGTGTTTCATGACACGAATAATTGTGGAACTGAAGTCTTTTCATGACTACAATAAGTAGTTCCCAAAACTAAAAATAAGGTTTTCCTTATACCAAGTGAGGTCGCTGCAAACACTTTCTGTGCTGCTTCTTTTCTCACCAACATGTGGTTTTTTTCCAATCGTCGGACTCATAATTTGTTAAGCAAAGGAGCTGGGAGCTGTTAATTAGGATGAAAGTGTTGTATGTTTTCTCCAACAAAATATTCCCAAAATGCTCTAAGAAATTTTTTGTTGGCAGATTTTGAAAGGACTGAAGATACACTATGCATTTTAAAGCAGTTGCTTACGTCCTTTCTAAAGTTTCAACTAAGAAGCCGGCTTTGGTAGAAAATGTCGACCTTCTTCATATGAAATTTCTACAATTTAAAGTTTGCATTAACACGTACCGTAAGGATCAATAAATTTAATTGTTTGCTATTTATTCTTTGGAATCATTTTCGCTAATATTAAGTCTAATACAGCAAAAATAACTGGTAAAACTATGAAGACAATCGCCTAACGACGTCGTCAGAGTCGCACGTGGAAGCCTCGGTTGTGTCCAGAACCTCTAGGTGAAATCTTCATGTAGACTCGCAACAAGCTGTGTAAAGGAATTTCATAACCAGCAAGTAACGATGGGGTGATCCCGAAAATTCTACATGATTTTGAACTGGTTAAATCAATTAGGTGAAGGACTTAACTGCTTTTTGTTGATGGAGAGCAGCTTTAATAGATCCACAACAAACGACAGAGGCGGTATGTTATCCGAGAGCGCGCTGTTGTAGAAAGTTGTGTTTGTTTTTCATTGTTGCTATTAAAAATTAATTTTTAAGCCATTGCTAGTGGGAATCAGGTCCAGTGGACATTGGGCGTCAGTCTCTTCTAGAATGCATAAAATTCCATTTTTTTCCTCTACTGCGAGAAGCCGATGAGATCTTTGGTAGAGACTGTTCAGTAGAGAATGCATTTCCGTCTCCCATCCTTTTCACACTTTATAAATCCATATGGAAATGAAAGAATGATTTCGGACGAATCAATTTTTTTTTCAGTTAGATGTTAATAAGGTTAAAATCGGAAACATTCCGAAGGACTTCATCGGGTTCATGCTCAGTAGAGGTGGTAAAGCAGGTAAGATTTCTTGCCACTTTTTTGTACTGGTTTTTATGAAACCTCATGCACTTAGAAGAAATCACCGTAAATGTTGAACGATGCGCCAAACTTGGTTTTCAGGTGATTTTTGCATCTCAATAGGTTCTGGGGATTACTGTGTAATTTCGATACGGTCCGAAAACCAGCATCCGTGCCACATGATTGTGGAAAAATATCGGTAAGCAGGGAGCATATTTTTTTTTGATTCTTCTACTTATAAAATTATTGCCAACATCTGTCTGATAGTATTTTTCCTTGTTTTATTCCAACAACTTTGCTTATTTTTTTTATGAAAAAGTGTTGTTTGGACGCTTTTGAATTTATGAATTTCATATATTTATAATAGGGTGCGGGTACTATAGTGGTAGTGATGTCCGTCATCACGGGCATGGTGCTAGTTCAGTTTCACTCCGAGCCAATCAAGAATCTCATCGCTCCTGGGTTGTGAAATTAGTACCAAATTTATCTAGGAAAAGACCACTCTCTGCAATTCAATTAAAAGCGCTCCAGCCCGACCATCTCACTTTTAAACGGTTGAAGGCCAACTTTTGACATTAATGAATCGTCTCACTTATATAGTTTCAGAGACGCCTATCGAGCTCGTGGTTTGTATAACGTCAGCGGGAGGACAATCGGCGAGCTGCTGTTCAATATACTAAAATCACCGGTAAATTCACCTTTTTTCGCAACTCCCATAGTAGGTAATCGCCGGCTTTCATGTGGCTGGCGTTTCTAATCGACTCCTCTTTTTTCACTGCGCACTGTGAGAGTTGAAATCGACTGATTCCATCCACTATACTTTTTTCCCATCTTTGATTCGTAAGTGCTGTTTTTATTGATAACAGTTTTTTCTCTTTCTGTAGAACACGTACGTGTCGATCTTGACGGGCATGATGTGAGCCGCATAAACATCTTAGTAACTAATCATGTTGTTTGTTTTTATCTTTATACGCTTCCCACCAGCAATAGTGGCTGTGTCTTTGTTGATTTCTCTGTCGCCTGGTAGACTAATTCACCAAAAAAAACCAGCTCAACTATACTAGTTAGTGCATAAAACTGCTTTCCCTACCCGACGCCTAGCCGTTTGCCCCTGGTTGATTCGCTAATGAGTAAACACAAAGAGTAACATTAGAAACCCAGCAGAAAGGTGGCGAAATGGTATCGATTCATATCGGCCAATTCGTATGGTCCCATCCTCGACGTGGGTGTGAACATGAGCTCACGTTAAAATTTAACTGATGAGCTCGCACGTTGGGAAAGTTGTGTAGTTCTCGTGTGAAGCTGCACTGGTTTCAGAATCGTCACGTGTTCGGCGCCCTTCGCTGTGAAAGCCATCCAAGGCGACTTCTCACATTTAATTTTCTCCAGAATTTCCGGATTTTTGGCAAAACCACGTGATTTGCAAGTATTTTGAACGCGAAGACGGCGATTTCATTGTGAGTTGCTTTTATTTCCATTTATTCCACTTCTCGTTTTTTTTTCCAAAAAGGACCACACGACTACAAGTAGTTGTGGACACTGCGTTGTTGCGTTTTGTTTCCCGCCAAAAAAACAAGCAGGAGGCATCTTTGTTCCGACAGCATGAAAATCACTGGAACTGAAGTACTTAAGTGTGACATGGGTTTCTGTGTGTTTTTTAGGAGGGTATGTGGCTATTCACTACCGTTAGGCTATTGACGACGATTGGATGACTTTGTAAGGATGGTAATTTGGTCAACCCTAACTTCATCTTTAAACACACATCTCCGAATTTATAGCGAACTTTGCTAATTGAGAAACAAGTCTCTAAAACCCGAAGATCTTTGCCAGCAATGGAAGCTACCTTATCAGACCACAGTGCAGAACGAAAATTTTACAAAAAACAAAAATTTAAAGCCACCAGATGAAGTCTCCTTTACCAGTATCTCAGCTTCCAAATTCAATTCAACAGCTATCCAGAAACCCGTGGTAGTTGTGAATTAACTTAAAGGAAATTATCGCTGTGTTAATTTCGAGAATTTTCAGTATCATCGGGCAAATTTATCGATGAATGATGGCTATGCGGAAGTGATATTGAAGAACAACAGAAGGATGGACGAGCAACAATGGAAACAGCACATATTTGATGTAGGTGTAACCATCAAGTTGCCAAAATTTTTTAGGATCTTTAGAATGCCTTAGTAGGCGATTAACAATGGCAACAAATAGGCTCTTCAATCGGAACAAATCTTGCTATTTGGTCGTTGTGGAACGAAAAGGGATAGAATTCTTCAAATCTAAAGACAAGTACGAAATCTTAGTTTAAGAAGAAACCTCTGTGACGATTCCGAAATTAAGGAGCTTAAAGCGACCTTCCCCGCCGAAGACTTGAAGCTTCCTGTGCGTCTTATGCTTGGGGTTATTACGTGGCGTGGTGGCGGTTACATGGTCTACAGGTACTAGAACAGTACATGAACTACCAATTTTGAAATCAACGAAAACTATGTTCCCACAAATTCTTTCAGTGGTGCACCTGGCCGTTACTTGCAACATTTCCTCCAGGAGAACGTCCACTCAATGAGTTGTTGGACGAAAATTAAGGTGTGATCTTCCAAGAATAGAAAAAATAACGCAAAACGTGAAAACTGGCTCCCTATAGAGAGCGAGGCAAGGATCAGGAGGAAAACATGAGTGTGTTCAAACTAGGTTTCGTCTTTTGTGCTTGTAAAAGTGAAATAAGCATGGAATCCAATCAAAATATGTGCTTAATTCATCTAATCGAGTTGAATGGTTATTTTTGTAGGGCATGTTTGGAGCAGAATCTTAGGATTGCTAAGAAAGATGATTGTTGAATAGTATAAGTTGTGAACAGAAACAATACTAAAGATGGCATAAAGGAAGGAAAACAAGGAGAAAAGAGAAAAGTCAGGAGGAAACCTTTTTTTCAGCTGTGCGCAGCGCTAGCTAGGGTGATGTCCCAGCTGTACAGCTGCGATAGGTACTGCGGAGTCGTGGAATTAGACAGCTTCTACATTAATTTCCTGGTTAGTATTCCTATCCTGTCAAAGATTGGTTCACCATATTCAACTTTTTCGTTTGCATAAGTATATAGCGTTCTGTATAACGTTTGACATTGTAACTTCAGCAAGCGGACTCATGCGGGCGAATCCAGCCAGTTTTTGCTGAGGGAAAAGACTTAACTCCATTGGGGTGAGTTTTGATGGAAACATTCTTGGTCTATGTAAAGTTGCTACAGGAGAATTTTAGGCTGCTTCTTCTGAACAGACGGCCTATATTCTCCTTAAGATGGTTTACTCCTTAAGACAGTTTACTATGTAATCACTGTTATACCTAGTATTGAGATAATGACCATAATTGAAGCTAAGAGTCACTCAAATTATTTCACGGGATTTAACATATTTCTAGAAGCGTTCGTTTTTCTTTTATCTATCAAGTATCGAGTTGAAAGAGATGTGAAATGCTGGTGACATCGACTGCATCTTCTGCGGCCAACTTCAGTTTTGGTTTATTGTGATTTTACAGAAAAAAACTGAAAGGAAAGTATTCTTTCTTGATAAGCTTACACGAAGTTGATAAATATATTTATTTTCGGCTAACGTTTTTTTTCGAAATATGAAAGGAAAATCTTCTTTATTCTGCAAAATTCGATTACATTCAAAGCAGCATTTTCGAGAAGTGCCGTTATGTATGCCGGCTGCTTTATTATCGATTATTTGGTCTCTTTTTGTCTACTGAACACTTCAATAGCTCAGCATCAACTCATTTACTGTAATCATATCCGATCCACTTGATAATTTACCGA